GGCTACCTGGTTTACACACATTGAACATGTTTCAACACGCTTTAATACCTAATTTCTTCTGGACATCGATCGATGACTGTAAAGTTTCCCAAAATGAGCCTGAATATGCCATTTGGTACAGTTGCAGAAAATATTAAATTATGATAGCTTGTAATGTAAATCAATGAGATCTTTATAACAGTACAGTTACATTAAATGAGATGATACTTCACAAGACGATATTTAAATTAGTTTTATGATCAAAGCTCTATAGTTGTTTTTGTGGGGGTAAAACTTAATACTGTGCAATAAAATGATGATCGAGAAATGTACAAATAATTTTTTTAAAAGCCTGATTGTATTTGATCTTTTAACAGGATTTTTCATCTTAAAATATCACTAACAATATAAAAGTTATTATGTTTTTAAGATTTTAAAGCAAAAAGACAACCTGAAGGTGGACATTTTTAGAATTATACAAAAAGGCTACATTGCTGAATAAATGTAGTAGATTTTATTCAAGTTTTTTTTTTTTTTTTTAGTTAAGTTTTTGTCTTGTTGTTGATAATTTACAGGCCTTAGAAATTTGTGTATCAAATATGATACAGTAAGGTTAATGCCAGTTAAGCTAACTTTTTCCTCAACAAAGAAAATGAATATGTTGAATAACACTATTAGTGCTTGTCAAGGCTTTATTAAATCACAGATAGACTACTGCTCCATCCTCAGTCTTCTCTGGTCCACCTGTATCTGCTATACGGTCCTTCGAGTGCATCCAAAATACTGCCGCTCGACTTGTATTTAACCTCAGGAAATTCTCTCATTTTCCGCCTGTGCTCAGCTCACTACACGGACTGCCAGTAACTGTAAGAATTAAACCCAAGTCACTGTTCCTAGTCTGCAATAGCCAGCAGAACCATTACCTAAAATCCTTCATCAAACTGGTACACTCTAGTCTGGTCACTGCAATCAGCCATTTCTGGTGGCTTAAATCCCCTCGAAGCGTAGAGTTCCTGCTCATCCAAGTCCAGAATTTTCTATCGGGTTCTTCATTGGAACAAACTCCAAATATTAAATATCATAACAGCTGATCGGTTCAAATCAAAGCTTTCAGATAGACACACCTTGTCATGTGTTACCGCCACAAAACATACATTTGGCTTTATTGAAACACTTGTCTAAACTTCATTCATCTGCAACTGTAAGATTTAGTGTTAATTGTAACTGATTGATCAACATTCATTTCTTGTGTATTGTTGGTTTTTTTACTGGATCTTTAGGCCAGGCCTACACTGGAAATATAGCTTAAAATGGTAGCTGTGTTTTGGAGCATGGCACAGGTATATCCAACAAACCTGGTCATACCATGGTCTTTGGAACATGGTGGTTGCTGCTCGACTAGCAAATAACCAGCTTGTTCCAACTAAAAACCAACTATCATGTAACAAAACACAAGCTGGAAACATTTATGTTTTATTTTTTTGTGAGGGACTGTCGCACATTTTCTCTGAACGTGACTCGAAATTTGAGTTGAGTCTAGTCGTTTTTGAGAGAAAGTGTCTGCTAACATCGTAAACAAACATTTTATACAATGTAAACCTAGTCTAACTATAAAACAGTAAGGTAAGGGCCTCATAATAACAGTTTATAACCAACCTAATCGTTTATTTTCTAGCCACAAAATAATTTACGTCTAATCCCTTTTGGCTGGAATACACAAATAAAACAATTGCAGAATAACTTTTCAATATTAAATCGTGTCAGTAGCCCCTTTAGTGTGATAAGCAAGCAAAAGTGTGCATAAGCATAAATGTGTAACAATATATCACCTGGATATAAGGATTAACTTCGATACGGAGAATCTTGAATCTCCATTGAAACATTGAACTCGGAGTCGGCGTTCAAATAAATATCAAAAGGAAATCACATGATTTGGCGAGTTTGGTCGCCATCTAGCGGTGTGAATCGTTCTCTACAGGGAATCAGGATCAACATTATCAGGATCATCATATATGTCTCCAAATGCCTTGTGGAGACTATTACTGAGGTTTGAACCCCCATATGAAGTAAAAGCAGGAGGTTGAGGGAGTCTGAAGTATATAGATTTCATTAATTTCAGTAGCGAGACAAGTTATTAAGACAAAAGTTAGATCAAGGTAGAGTTAGTCAAAGTGCAGTGCCATTCGCCTCAGGAGGTAACCATAGCAACAGTTCGCCTCGCGAGAGCTTCCAGGAGGATTCGTGATGTAGCCTAGGCTATTATAGATTTACATAGGCTATAAGAAATATATCCCAAAAAAGTGTTTTATACATATATAGGCCGAAAGAAAACACGCGAAAATGACTTCCTTTTTACGTTTGCTTTATATTGTAGGCTAGTATTGACATAGGGCTACTTTGTTCCTCAACCGTTTTGAAGAACAGAAGCTTCACAACTTTAATATGAATTATTATTTGAGAATTTGTCTTTTAAACACGTCAAAGTTAAACTCTTTTTTTGGACCGTTTGAATACAACTATTGAAGCAAAGAGCGCCAACTTATGAAACGTGATGTGTCAGTGTGTGTATGAAGTAGAGAGCAGGCAAAACGTCTTTACGTTCTTAAAAAATAAAGGTTCTTTATTGACCTTATTCACAGCAGCGCCATCTTTGATTTTGAATGGAAGCGAGGCTGTGAGGCCATAGACATGGGTCTTCAGTGGGTTGTACAGTATTTAAGGTGTTTTCGGATTGTTCTACAAACAAAACACTGCAAAAATATCTTTTCAAGAAACTTCAGTAGACAAAAACAAAACAAAAAAACCCAGACAATTTGAGCTGTGGAAAAGTACAAGTGATCTGGCGCTTTATGATGCTTTTTACAGCGAATGCCATTAAAAAAATGGTCCTCACAGCCTCGCTTTCATACCTGTCATGGCGCTGCTCTGAATAAGGTCTATTGGCATTGATGGTCCCATGAAGAACCTTTAAGATCCAGCCTTTCCATTCAACCAAAGGTTCTTTATAGAGAAAAAAGATTTTTTCTAAGAAAAAATGGTTCTTTTAAGAACAGTTCACAGAAAGGTTTTTTGGGTACCAAAAATGGTTCTTCTATGGCATTGCTGTAAAACCCCCTATATTTTTAAGAATGCACACAACATAAACAGCCAAACACGAGCATCCTGAATGAACATGACCTGCACTCATCACACACCCAAACACAGAGCATGTCCACAATTACTCTTCACCCAAACATTACTGGTCAGCCCGATGACCCCACCCCATCTCGATGACCCTGACGACCTAGGCACCATGGCAACCCTGTGACCTATCCGGTTCAACCTATCAGTTGCCAAGGAGACAACCTTGGAGCACATCTGACCATTGCCCCCTCCCTTCCCCCTTTCTGCTGAGACGAGGCAAGCGATCGATATTCTATCACACAGAACAGTGGAGCGAGAGAGGGAGAGGGGGAAAGGGGGAGAGAGAGAGAGAGAGAGAGAGAGAGAGAGAGAGAGAGAGAGAGATTGGGGGTCTGCATTGAGCAGAAAGATTAAAGCAGGCAGGACAGCTGACAAGGGGAGTGTGTGTGTATGTGTGTGTGTTTCATAATGAGGAGACATATTTCTGTTATTTTGGAGAGTTGGCTTCAAGGCATGTTTGTAATTCTGTTTTTAGAGGTGTGGTTCTGTGTGTGTGTGTTTGTGAGCCCTCTTCATCATCAAAATGAAACAGCGGCTGAATGTAACCAGGGAATTCATCAAAGGCTTTACTGCAGCCCGTCTCCTCCTTTCTCTTTCATATAAAAACCCTAACTGTGTATATATATATAAATATATATAACAGCCTGTATAAATATATAAGGTGTTTTAGGCCCTTTGTCTCTATCTGTGTGTGCAGACACTCTTTAAACGGGGTGACCCACACCTCTAGGTGATATGGCTTTGAAAAAGCAATTTTATTTTATTTATTTATTTATTTACAGGATTTATTTTATATCTCAAATTAAATTTATGATAGCATTCTGTTTTGAAAAACAACATCCTCAAAATGACAAATGTTACTAAGATATTAGTGAGTGATTTCAAGTGAGATTTTTTTTTAGTATGATTATTTTTGTGATATTATTTTGGGAGAAGCCACCTCTATATAAATGTCATTGCACTGAACTCATAAAACCTACGATAAAGAAGGTTATAAACCTGTGAGAGTGAATTAATGACTGTAAAACCATTAACAGTCTTACAGAGTTCAGAGAAAACCCATTACAGTGGCAAAAGTTCTCGCACTGTCCATGTTAATCGAACAAATAGCGGATATCTTTATTATCGGACTACAATTAACTTGCTGAATCTTACAAGAACATATAGTTTGTATTTCAGCCCCAACATAATATAATATAAAATAATACATTTTCATGACGTCATCTATTCACATTTCTCACCCCCAAATTCTCATTATGATTATGCAAAATATATATTTTATTTAAATTGTATATTAAATAAATTAATAGTATTTATATAATTTACATATATAATTAATATAATTTTAATAACATTACCTTAATACAGAAATGAGTGCATAATAAGAATTATCATGTGAATTACGAACTGAGAAGACATCTGGATGCACTACAATATGATTCACTCCAATAAAATGATTTCTTGACTCTAAAGATATTTATAAATGAAAAGTGTTGACTTTGTCCTCAAACAACACGTGAATGCATGTTTACATAATGGCTATAAATTACACAAAATAAAGTTGAATATTTCATTAACCAGACATCAGACACAAAAACAAACCGACGCCAAGCTGAGAAAAGAGAGATCCTTCTTTTTTATTTCATTTTTCGCAGTTGATTGACATGTTGTAACATTGCTTTTATTCCATTTTTCTGCACTTATTTAAACAATGACATTAGAGAGAAATCTCTTTTTCCTAGGACACAGAAAGATTGTATTTTCTCTTTTTTTTTAACAGGGGAAGAGGGAAACGGGGTGGGGGGGGGGGTTTCTTCACATCGTTCACAAACAGACGGGAACGGACAGAAGGAGCGAGAGCAGGGAGGGAGGGGGCAGTGCAGGGTCAAGGGGAGAGAGAGAGAGAGAGAGAGAGAGAGAGAGAGAGAGAGAGAGAGAGAGAGAGAGAGAGAGAGAGAGAGAGAGAGAGAGAGAGAGAGAGAGAGAGAGAGAGTGGGTGGCAGTGTGCTTTGTCGTGTCTGAGAAAAAAAATGAAACCAAGCAGCTCTCAGACACACTTCTAACATAACAAATATCGGACTAAAAAGTTAGGAATGATTAATAAAAACAACACTCAAAAAAAGAAAGAAAACACACAACAACAACGACCTGGAAAGAAAAGACACTGAGAAAGGGAGGAGGTGGCAGGTGAGACGGGACCGGTTTGGAGCGGGGCGGCTGTCTTCCTCTTTTCCCCCAGCAGGGGGCGAGAGTCTAAATGAATTTCATGATCATTAGGTTGTTTGTATTTTGCCGATGGCGAGGACGGTGCGGGATGAACAACAGTAATCTAGCGTGGCAGTGTTTGTGCAGGAGTCCCTGTCGCCCGTGACGGAATCTAAATGCAGCTGTCGGGTCTGGAAAGACGTGATGCGCGACATCCATTCCAAAGCCGTGCGTGTGCGCATGCTAACAGTGTGTTTAACAGTTTTTGTAAACCTTACAACTATGATACTGGCAGATTCAGCTGTAGTCTTTGGGTTTGTCATCTTCCTCTGTGGTTGCTTGGTCCTCTCATCTCGTCTCATTTTTTATTTTTTTTCAGTAAAAGGATGGAGATGATGTTTTTATAAAGGAGGGATGGGTAGAATGTAAAAAAGAGAGAGAAAGAGATTAAGAAAGAGAAAGTGAGGGAATGGGGGAGAATTGATGAGTGAAGTATTTGACAATTTAGTAGTATGTCTCCTTTTCAATCCAACCTGAAGTAAAACAGAGAGAGAAAAAAGACGTGATTAAAATTCAGCATCAACACCATGAATATTAAAATCAAACATTCACAGAATATTCATATTCGAAACATTGTGAATATTATGATTTTTGCAATGCATCCTCTTCTTGCCACTTTAGTAACTAAAATGTTAAGAGTTGTCAAGTTTGATTCATTTGATTCAACTTCAGTGAATCAATTCAAAACTCGAATCAGATGAAAACAATGATTCATTTGCATCATCAATAAAACATAAAATATATGTAGGTCAGTTTAGCTTTTTCTTTGCTATGTATTGTTTTTTTTTCTTCCTTCTGGTTCATTTAGTGAAAAACTGTAGAAAAAAAATCCTAGTTTTCTTTTAAGATAGATATTTTACAAATATAGATATATTTACTGTATTTTAGTTTAGGGCCAGTAAGAATTTTTGAAAGAAATTAATACTTTTATTCAGCAAGGATGCGTAACATTGATCAAAAGTGACAATACAGAAATGTATAATAAAATATTTTAAATAAATGCTGTGCTTTGCTGTACTTTCAAATTATCAAAAAAATCCTGAAAAAAAACAACAACGTTTTCAACATTAATAATGATCAAATGTTGCTTCAAATTAGTATATTAGAATGATTTACACATAATTGTAACAAAAATGTAACAATGAGCATAATACTTATTTCAAATAAATTAAAAAATTTGACTTTTGGATGGTACACAAAAAAGCCATGTCAGAGAAAATACATAAATATTAATATTTATATAAAAAAAACTATTTTCTTGCTATATCGCTAAGCTCTATTTCTCAGTGTGAGAGAGTAATTCAGGCTCTGTACCTCCTGGGTTTCTGCGCAGGATAAGTTTTCGGATCTCATCGTAAACAAAAATTAAGAAGCTGTAAGGGAACGCACAGAACCACCAACTGGGCCTGAGAGAAGAAAAAAAAAAAAAAAAAAAAAAAGAGAATTCACATTATTTTAATGAGTTTTTCCTCAGCTAATGCTATGATATTGATGTAGCATATATCAAATTTGCTTTGTAATGTTCCACGAGGAAGCAACACTCACTTGAGAGGGTACATCCTGAGGGCCACATCCATGCCGGGGCAGTAAGAGAGGAAGGCAGCGAGAGCCGTCTCCTCAAACAGGCCGAAGATCAAGATTTTATTCCTACAAACAAGCACAATCATTTAGCTACGAATCCTAAGCTTCAGATTTGACCCAACAACTAATTCCAGCAAATGTCAGTTAGCCCCAGGGCAGCAGATACTCACTTCATGCCCTGCTGGAACACAGAGTTGCGGCGAGTTTTGCAAATGATCACGTCGGCCCACTGCACCACCACGATACTGACGAAGAAGGCCGTGTGACACGTGAACTCCACAATCTTCCTCTGCTCATATGTCTGAGAGAAAGAGATCATTTCATTACACATCCTTGCATGCTCCACATTTACATACAGGTGAAACTCGAAAAATTAGAATACATGCAAAGTGAGATATTTCAAGCCTTGATTTGTTATCATTACAGCTATGAAAACCTTTTCACAATATTCTAATTTTGAATTTGGGGTTTTCATAAGCTGTAAGCCATAATCATCAAAATTACAACAAATAAAGTCTTGAAATATCTCACTTTGCATGTAATGAGTCTATAATATATTAGTTTCACCTTTCAAGTTGAATGACTGAAATAAATGAACTTTTGCACGATATTCAAATTTTTTGAGTTTCACCTGTATACTACTGTTCAAAAGTTTTGGGCTCAGTAAGATTTTTTTGGGAATAAAATGAATACTTTTATTCAGTAAGGTTGCATTCAAATGATCAAAAGTAACAGAAAATGCTTTCATAACATTTCAAATTTCTATTTCAAATAAATGCTGTTCTTTTGAACTTTCTATTCATCAAAGAAATCCTGAAAAAATACGTATTATAGTTTCCACGAAAATAATAAGCATTACAACTGTTTTCAACATAATAAGAAATGTTTCTTGTGCATCTAATCGGCATATTAAAATGATTTCTGAAAGATCATGTGACACGAGTCACCAAAATAAATGACATTTTTAAAATATAAGTTTTTTACTTGTAATAATATTCCACAATATTACTGTTTTACTGTATTTTTGATCAAATGAGCATAAGTAATGCTTTTAACCCTCTGGGGTTGTTCGTTTAACAGTCACACTTGGGGTGTTCGGGCAGGATTCATATTTAAAAAAAAAAAAAAAAATCATAATTTTTTTACTTGTTTTTTATAATATTTTTTCTTTTCTTTTTTGGTGTTTTGAGATAATTTCAAAAATAAAAATTATTTATAATTAATATTAATGCAATAATTATGACCCATTTTTTCCCCATTGAATATAATAGATTTCTTTTTTTTTTTTTTTAAAGCTGTATTTTATTTTAGAGTCAAGTCTAGGCCTCATGAAAGCAATTTTTGAAATGAGATGGATGCCGAGATGGACAAACTGAGCATTTTAAAAATTCAAAAACCATATGTAATCTGAATTTATTAGTGTGTATGTGTATAAAAGTGTGTGTGTGTGTGGATGTGTCTGTTTTGCACTCTTGATGTTTTATAGATTCACCCCTTCACTGTTGTGTGCTTTTTTTCTGGGTCGTGGCTGATTTGTAGATTGTACGCACAAAAAAACTCTGTATTTTCACATTTTTGCCAATTTCCCATTCATTTCCTATGCGGGTCCATTTGGACCCGAAGGTCCTGAGTGTTTTTTTTTACAACCACTTAGACTGTTCACATCCTGTCCCCAAATTTGTTGGGTGTTCATATACCAAGTACCAACAAAGTCACCAAATTTCGGACCATTCCGATAAAGCTATGATTAAAAAAAATTTTTTTTAAATGCTTCGGGTCCATTTGGGCCGAAGGACCCCAGAGGGTTAAAAAAACCGTATTGACACTTACCTTTTAAATGGTAGTGTACAGTATATTATTTTTGCTAGATTGTTTTAGTTGTTTGTTATCTATCGATCGGTTTTGAACTTTCCTGCATTGATGAACACTTGAGAAATATCTCTCCAAATGTTCTATAGATCAAAAATGCTTAAAATCCGCATCTTCTGTTATATTGTTTTGATTTCTTGTACTATGTCAAAAAGCAGATCATTTATAGCTAAGATGGAAGCCAATGACAAAAGACAGGCCAACACTGAAAATATGATTAATACAAAGTTTGATAAGATGCTTTTTAGAAGCATCTGCTAAATATAAATGTAAAAAAAAATGAAATGCAATTTAAGTTGCTTTGGACAAGAGTGTGTTCTATCAAATATGCACTGCATAGTTTGTGTGATCTGATGTTCACCCATTGCTGTCCGTAACTGTCCTCCAGGTCATTATTCGAGCGATCGTCCCAGTTTAGCCGGATGCCCACCAGCAGACTGGGAAGCCACCCGTTCTCAGCCAGAATCACGAAATAACTGAAAAATCCTCCCAGGGCTTGAATCATTCCTACATAGCCAGATTTAAAAAGACAGAGGATACGTCACTTTTATTCAGTTCATTTCAAGTCTAATCTCTTATAACAGAGATTTTTGTAATGTAGCAGCTCACTAACCGATCTGTCCGTAGGCGATGCTGATGAGACGCTCGTTCACCAGCTTGTCCCTGTGGGGGTTACGAGGCTGGCGCTTCATGATGTCACTCTCTGCTGCTTCATAAGCCAATGAGATTGCAGGGACCTGATATGGCATACAACAATTGGTTAATGTGTGAGTATTGGAGAAAAAAAGTGTATTGCCACTAGAAAATTACTCCAGTTTCTGTTACATCCATTATTCAAATGAAAACATTAGGTGTGTATGAGTCTCACCATGTCAGTGCCCAGGTCGATGCAGAGGATGGTGATGGTTCCGAGAGGAAGAGGAATGTTGACCAAGATGAAGAACAGGAAGGGAGTGATCTCAGGGATGTTGCTGGTCAGCGTATAGGCGATGGACTTCTTCAGGTTATCAAAGATGAGACGACCTGGAAGAGAAAAAAACACAGACCTCATTATTACCCGAGTCTTTTCTTTCATTCATCTAGACTGTTTCTGTTTTGTATTGTTTTTTCCAAACATTTTTCATGATAATTTGCTTTCACAGAAGTCCCCTGCGTTACACTTATGCTGCCTGGGAAATCTGTCAATTGTGTTTATTATATGGTTTAAATATGACCTACTTTTCTTTGTTGTTGTCGTTTTGTTTGTTGATTTTTTTATTAAAGCGTTAAAAAACACTCAAATAAAAATATGATAAATGACAATAAATAAAATATTAATTTTGATTGATTGTGATATTTTATCAATTTTTTTTATTTGAATTATCTGCATTTTAATTCAGATTTTTTACATATATTAAATATAACCATAAGTCATAT